ATACCTGTCCCAATTGGTAGAGCTCACATGTGTACATAAGACTGTCTAGTCCTGAAGCCAGAGCACAAACATTGGTAACTCATCCAAACCCACACATCTCTTTATCAGATATCTCCAACCCATTTTCCCCAAAGTCACGCCCCAATTCTAGTACCTCCTCTTCTCCTCCAATACACAAAAGTAAACACACACAACAAAGCAACCACAAATCTATGGAGGACAGCCAAGGATTTGAGGCTGAGGTTTCCTGTGCCAAGCACTCTCTCGCTAAGCCGGGAATATAACACCTTCTTTTGGCTTCAGTAAAGCTTAAAGACAAATCTTAAACCAGATACACTCCTTTTAATCTTATTGTTACTGTCTTGCCCAGTGGCAAAGTAAAGAAAGGCTGTGCTTTTAAAATGGGGACACTAAGAAGATATAAGTAGGATACACAAAACACATACTTAGAGCAATTCTCAATGGGGTTAATGCATGATCTCTCCTAACCACACTTCCTCCTTCCTGCCTCCCTCTTCCTATGCAGTAATAAGTAAATAAATAAATGAACCAACAAGCAACACTCTTGTCTGTTTTCTTTTGAGAGGATAATATAACCTATAAAAAAGTTTAGTTGTTTCATTTTGTGCCCCCCTGAGGAAAGGAAGTGCACCTACTTATGAGTCACGCAGAGAGGTGGTCCCTTTATATATATGATTTCATTTATCTTTACCATGGGGCCCTTAAAGGCAGGCATTAATGACAAAGAGAATGCAGCTTGGAGGGAGTCCATGTAAGATGAAACAGCCAGTAAATAACTCAACTGGGATTCAAATTCAAAATACAATGATTTCTACATCCACAATTATTTTCACTTTCTTCTAATATGGAATAAATAAGTAAGCACATGTGGGTCGGGGCATAGAAAGTTGACTTTTTAAATTTGTATAATTGTAAGAAACTCAGGCTACATTAAAAAAATAAATAAAAGGAGGCAGAGAGTGGCAAAGATGGCTTCCTTGGGCACACAGGGTGCCACCAGGACACACATTGAGATGACAACTCAACATCTTGTTGGAGGGCAAATATTTCTGTATTTTACCTGCTGCCTGACCCACTCATGCAGGTCAGCAATAGTTGACACAATCGAGCAATAAACTGCCTGACAGGAAGTAGCTTCTGTGCACTTCTCTGCTCTCTGACTGGGAGAGGGGACTTCCTGGTGAGTAAAGCTAACAGCAGATGAATTGGGCTTTTTACCAGCAGGAGTTCTCTGGACCCCTTCGTTTCGGAGGTGAAACCACCAAATACCAACTCAATCATGTCACTGCTGTGACACCTCTTTGTCACACATTGACATGGGGTTTCTGAGGAAAAAGCTAAAAAAAAAGCAGATATGAAATAAATGTTTATCAAAGCACATAGGGGAATAAAAGACTCAGTTCTTTCTTTTCTCAAAATTACCTGAGGTGACAGATCAACAGGGAGCTGAACAGTGCAGAAAGTTGGGAACTTAGTTAACTCTATTGCGTGGATGACAGAAACCTACAGGCATGCTCCAAAGAACCACGCAGCCATCAACAGTCTAGTTTTCCTTCCAAGTGGCTGACACGGAAAATCAGACACAATGTGCTTCCCTGAATGCCCCAGATTCAGACAGACAACTTGAAGACATAACTTACAGATTCATTCCTGTCTCAATTTTAAATGAGGGCTATTTGAGACATTAAAAAAAATCATTTTCCCTTCCTATTTTTTTATGAGATGAATGAGCTCAGTCATGAGCTTAACTCTTATTTCTGATATAGAGAATCTACTCTAACTGTCTTGCAGAGTCGACTTCAGACTCAAGTCTTTTCCTTCCCCAACTTCATGCAGTACACTTCACCTTGCTACTGATGTAAACATAATTTGATGCCATCATTTGCCATAACTTTGGAATCTGAGTGATTTCTTAAATTGAAGTCTGCACCCTTCTTAATACCAAATGTGCAGATGCTAAAATGACAACCCACGGATCAGATATTAAAATGTACAACTTCTCCTACTCTTGTAATCCTTGGTTGATAAGCAGTTATTGTCCTGAAAGCCAGTCACAGGAGTTGAAAGATAAATATTATTCCATATCTTATTGAATAAAATATATTATAACACAGGTGATGGAGACAGATTGACTCAATAAATTCTAATAGTGTATGCTGAGAAATAGCGGCAATAAAAATGCTGATGACTTGACACAGGGAGAATATTGAATGTCATTAACATGCTATTTCCTCGGTTCTGATCTCCCTGTCAAGTTCTTCACACTGTTATAATCTCTATCAGTGGATTTTTCTTCGGTATATCGGCATGAGAAAAATGGCATATTTTAGTGTTTTAAATTATCCAGTACTCTACTGATTGCGGAAGTTATGCAGTAGTGTAAAATATGGAAAATTAATATAGGATTTTATATTTAGCAAGAGCATCAGCCTTACTTGAAAGGGCTAGAAAAATGCAAGAAGCCACTGAGCTCTAAAGTTTGTTCTTATCACAAAATTTTCTCCAAATTTTCATTTTTGCTCATTTTTGTTAACTGGCTCAATTTGGAATAAATGAAGAATTCTTAAAAGAGCTTAAAGAGTTTATTAAAGATCTTAAAAAGTTAGTCTTAAGAAGTTCTTTTAACAGAAGTTAGTGACATGGATCTTATTTCATGAGATACAAGATGATACAGGTAACGAAACTTTTAAGGTTTATGTTAATTCCTGTTGCTTTGTATATTACTTGGGATAGATAATGAACACATGTAATCCTGACAGAATTTAATGCTTCAGTCACAAACCATGAGTTAATCTATCAGATGAGTACTATGTTCAGAGAATGGTAACCAGTAGGTGATGATGAGTACCTTATATGATGATGCCACCACAATATAATAGTCATGAAGTGAGACTCCATGTTTTACGTCAGTGGTTATAGCACACAAGCAAATTATTTTCATTCTTAGTCTTATTTCCTTTATGTCTATAAATTACTGATGAGAGAAAGTATTATTGATTAAAGAAAGGAAGACTAAAATAGTGATGTGAATATATGTTAATAATCAGTGTGAAAATATAATTATTCAATGAGCTTTAATACATTGTTCAAGCCGTATTCATTTCATTATAGTTTGCTTAAACTAGAATGTAGGTAGTGATTCAAGACCCAAGGTTACAAAAAATATAGTGAAAAATACTCCATTTATTCTGTTTTAATTATCCTTTGATTTATTGATAATATTATAATCTGTCTGTACTAACCAAGATCATCAATTATCTCCAGAATTCTCTGAAATGACCTCAGGTGAAACAGCTTCTTAAATTAAGCACAAATTCCCTAAACTGAAAATATTGCAAGCTGAAGTTTACTTTCCCTACAAAAACCTATTTCTATTTTTCTTACTGTCATCCTTATCTCAGCAAGTGACACCATATCTAATTTGTGACCCAAAACAGACTTTCACATCATCTTTGTCCTCTTCTTCACCCCTACCCTCCACAAGCAAGGAATTTCCAAAGGTAAAGGCGTTCCTTCTGCATTTTGTTCAGAGTCTATCCAGTTCTCTAAATCCTGTTACAATCCTAGTTCAGGTCATTACCATCTCTTTTTTAGACTGTTGCAATGAAGTTTTAATTCTTCTTCCATCTTTCAGGCCACCCTGTCTCTCTACCCTAGTCTCTCATCCATTAACCACATTGTGGCAAGTCTGATAATGCCTCATTCTGGTGGAAATTCCTTCAATGATTCCCCTTTATCTTCACCACTTGTCCCAGGTGTCCATCAAAAGTCTCCAAACACTTCTCGCCTTTAAAACGGTAATAGGGTCTTTTAATGTCTTCTTTAAATCAATAACTACAGTATCAAAATATTATCTATTTAAAAATGGAATGTTTTGAGAACCTACAACAGTGATGTGAAAGTCAAATATTTCTGGAGTTTGTGGATCTCAGATAATGCTTCTTATGGACTGTCAATCACATATCCATGTCTTCAGTGGTTATAGTGTGCAGGCAAATTATTTTTATTCTTATTTCCTTTATGTCTATAAATTATTGATGAGAGAAAGTATTATTGATTAAAGAAAGACTAAAAAGTGATGTAAATATATAAGTTAATAAGAAGTGTGAAAATATAACTGTTCAATGAGCTTTGATTGATTGTTCAAGCTGTTTTCATTCCATCATAGTTTGCATGAACTAGAGCAAAAGGTAGGTAGTGATTCAAAACCCAAGGGTCCAAAAAATATAGCAAAAATACTCCATTTATTCTGTTTTAATTATCCTTTGATTTATTGATAATATAATAATCTATCTGCATCCATAATATTTTGTTTGTGGAAATGTGTCTGCCAGTAACATCCTGTAGCTCATAATTTAGAAGCAAATTAAAACGTTTATGAAACAAATGAACTAGTTGTGTGTTTGTGTGTGTGTACATGTGTATGAAAAAGACAGAGACAGAGACAAAGAGAGATTGCAAATTCCAAAACTGCCAGTCAGTGAAAGCAGATTTTTATCTACTCTTTCTGTTGTAAGAAATAATTCACTTTTAATCTACAGATTTTTACCCACTCTTTATAAGAAATAATTCACTTTCAATCTACAGATTTTTATCTAGTCTTTATGTTACAAGAAATAATTCACTTTCAATCTACATTGTATTATACATCCAGTACAAAAAACCATATGGGGAAATTATTTGCTAACAATTTTTTACATAATTAATTTTCCAAGTAAATAACGAGTGGCATTTGCCCTTACATGTAATTACTGTTAATAATAATTATAATGGGATGTTAATGAGGGATTTTTTAAATCTCCTTTTGGGCCACGGCCTCAGTTGTTGACAAATATATAATGTTCTAAGAACTCTACCAGCCTAAGGGGGAGAGCTGAGCTACCACATCAGGATGTGATAGAACTCATCCTCCCAGCATCTTTCATAACGGATCGCCAGCCTGTAAGAGAAGAGGTTGACGAGACAAAGAAAGAACATACCTTTAGGCAGTGGAGAGAAATATTTTTCTCCTCTTTGATGCAGTGAGTGAAAAACCTTCAAGTGCACTGTTTCTTAGGATTTGATGATGTCTCACCACCACCTGGAGATGTCTGAAAGCAAAGGCAAGGATATTGTGTGACTTCTGTAGAATACTATGATAGTGTGGGTTTCTCAAACATGGAGTCTAGGCCCTTCGGTAGTTTTCTGGAATTTTCTGAAAACAAAAACAAACCACAAACCAAACAAAAACAAATCTAACAAAAACCACCACCCAAGAAGGCCACCTAGGGAGGTGAGAGGACCCGACGGCCATTTTACTTATGGTTGAGAAGATGGCTTATGTTACTAAAGAGAATCAGAAGATTTAAAGATCTGCCTGATGTTTTATCTAGGAGTGGCATTGGTTAATTTTCAGAGCAAGTGGTAGAGAGAATAAAGTTATTTCCTGGTTGGACCCCATCAGCTCCAGCTTGATCAATTAAAAAACGATAGCTAAGAAGAATTGAGTGCTTATTCAGAACTAAATAGTATGTCACATGTCAGGTTCCCGAGGTGGCTCTGAGTCAGATATTGTGGTTTGGGAGTTTTCTGGGGTGTGCTTTCAGGATCTATATTTTTCTTGGATGGAGGAAAACAGAATTCGATAGAAGGAGAAATCAGAGTGTAGTGTATTCATAACCTATGTCTGAGCTGGGCTAGAATGGTACCATTGCATTGTCCCCTAGGGGAGTAAGGGACTAGGTTTTTTACACAGATCAGGTGTTTCATGTGGGTTACTCAAGGAAGGACACATGAACTTGGGTGAGGTGACACATTTTCATATAGGAAACTCACCAGGGGGAGAAAGGCTCTCAACTCCAGCTGTGAGTCCCAGTACTTAAACTGGCAAGGGAAGTATGGGAGCCTCAGTGCTGGGGGATGTGGTGGGCATCTCATAGCATCCATCTTAGTCCTCCCCTTGCTGTACTTAAATGCAGTTGCTTCATGTAAGTTTGGGGCTCAGAGTCTTCCAAATTCTGGTGGCTTCTTTTCCTGAGGAAACATAAGAAGAGGTTCATAGGACATACTGCAGTCCCCACCATGATTGCTGGTCATGAGGCTATAACACTACTTACTCATCATGCCCTTTTCCTACTGGCCATTCTTGATCTCCCTCATCTTAAGCTGGCCCCTTTGCAGGTCTAGGTAGCTTCCCGTGCGGTGGGTTGTTAGGGTGACCAAGAGTCTCATTTCGGAAGGGTTGCATGCCCATAGTCACCATGCACTTCCCAGGCTATGGTGGCTGCACTTGCTCATTTACCATGAATTAGGCACAGTTATAGAAGAGGCACCCAGATGGTTACTGAACTTGTTATCTATTTTATCTCCTTCTGATGATAGTGCTAAAAGGGCAGAGATATGTTTTCTTGCTGTCCCTTTGACATCTTTTCCAACCACAGATGTATCTAATATAATTTATCTGCCAGATCACATGGCAGTGGCAGGGCTGCTCACATCACAGCCTGAGTCTGCTGCAAAGCTCTTTCCTTCCCTTGGAACCTCACAAAGCTTACAGACTTTTTATCACCTAGTAGGTGATACAAGACTTCTATCCGTATACAAGTCTCTATCTCTGTTTGTATCCCAGGAACCTGACCATGCCTTTCATGCTCTGTGGTCATTGAATTTGCATTATTAGAGATTGTATGTATTAGTCTGTGTTCACACTGCTTAAAGAACTACTTGAGACTGGGTAATTTATAAAGAAAATAGGTGTAATTGACTAACAGTTCTGCATGGCTAGAGAGGCCTCAGGAAACTTGCAATCATGGAAGAAGGTCAAGGGGAAGCAAGGCACATTTACATGGTGGCAGGCAGGGGTGGGGACCTGCCACCAACTTTTAAACCATCAGATATCATGAGAACTCCCTCACTATCATGAGAAAAGCATGGGGAAACTGGTCCCACGATCTAATCACCTCCCACTTGGTCCCACCCGAACACGTGGGGATTACAATTTGAGATGAGATTTAGGGGGGGACAAGGAGCCAAACCATGACAGATACCCTTCTCCAGAGTAAGAAATCAGTAGTAACCTGAAGTTTCAGAATTACTCTTCTCAGTGGTTAACACCAAGAATATGTACATGAATGAATCTGATCACAAGAAATTGCCTATATTTTATCTCATTTTTACCTTAAAAGTTTTCATTTCATATGATTCAACATAATCGTTACCTAATAATTCTACTTCTAATACTGTTACTGACAGCAACACCAGCATTATTAATCAGATAACACTTAGCAAAAATCAGGCACTGTAAAAATACTTTGCTATTTAAAATTCTATGATCTTCACCACATTTACCAATTATATCATTAGGTATAATTATTTCTTTTTTATGCTGGTGCTGAAAATATGTCATAGAGATGTAAATTAACTTGTCAAAGGCCACAAAACACAAAAAGTATTTTGTGTGGAAGCTAGGATTTGAACTCAGTGAAGCCAGTTCCTGATTCTGCACCTTTAACCATTATGCTGTGTTTTTCCCAGATCTAACACTCCGGATTTCACCAATGTGTTTTTCCCTTGACACTTAGAAGGAAGTACAGTCAAACAAGATAGCCTTCTTGAAGTCTTTTGCTAATGTCCCACTGATCTCTTATTCAGAACATCCATGAAGTAAGAGGCCACTTTTGGTGTTAGCTTCAGGGTTTCTCTGACTGATAGGGTCTGTGCCCCCATCCAAATCTCATGTAGAATTGTAGTGCCCACTGTTGGAGGAGGGCCCTGGTGAGAGGTGATTGGATCATGAAGGTGTATTTAAAATTTTCATTGTAAGTGTGAGCAACCGTTTCATGCTAGTGATTCTATAAAGCGCTCATAAAACATCTCTACCATGATTTCCCATGGAAACCGCAAACTTAACATGTACAGATTGAAAATCTCATTTCCCAAATTTCCCATCTCCCAAATTCTCTCTCATCTTCTCACTATTCTAATGAAGGACATTGCCAAATATATGGGAAACTAAATCAAAACCAGGCCTTCATCAGTGACTCCTCCTCTCTGCCACCTATCATATCCCATCATTCCTATCGTTCTGTCAATTCTCACTCATAATCTACTTTTGTTTTCTATTCTAGTAGCACTCCCTTAGTTCAGGTCACCTTCGGCGATAATTTAGACTAAATAATTCAACAACAACAACTCTGTCATCATATCATTTCCCACATAGCAAGCAACTAACTTCTCTTATTTGAAACCTTCTATGTGATGGTGCGGGAGGAGGAAGGGGGTCAAAGATGCTCCTACACCAGCATGATGATGTAGCCCACTTTAGCCCATTCCTTCCAGTAATTAATTACAACTAAAGTCTCTGGACAAAATGCAGAAACAAAAAAGCAGGTACAGTGGAGCCAAAATTTGGAGAAGTAACTACATAGAGCTAAGTTTCCTAGCATTTTTTTTTCTCTTTCTGCCATGCATTACCTCTCTTATGCCTAGTCATGAGCCGCATGGCAGCAGGGGTGAAGCCTTCAGCTAAAATCTGAGAGAAACACCATCTTTCTGGCAACAGGAACCAGAGAAAGGGATCCCTGAAGGTCACAGATTATTGAAGGGGGATGCTGAAAGGGAGAGAAGAGGATCATCTCATTCTGTGAGTATACACATATAAGTCTTAGCCTAAGCCTTGAGTTACACATGTAGTACAGACACATACTAGTTTAGCTAAAGCTTAGACAACTGAAAAGAGACTTGATTGCACATGTAAGTCTTTCAGCCCAGTCCCCGAGGAGTATGCATGTGGAATAAATACAAGCTAAAGTGATAGAGGACTGGAGAACTGAATTGAAAGACCTGCACAAAAGTCTGACTAATCTCTGAGGTGTTCACACATGAGACAAACTTAAATAGTATAGCAAAGATTTGGAGGATTAATCTAATTGAACCATTTAACTTACAATCTAAACCTAACTAAGTGCAGCACTTGGTAAAAATAAAACACCAACATTCTCTGGGGGATTTTCACAAGATGGTACCCTGGGCATGTCGTTTATGATGTCTAGGGTACAACCCAAACTTTTCAATACAAAGTGAAACAAGCAGAAGCAACAGCAAAAACAATAAAATTGCAAAGGCTAAAACAATATGCCAAGCCTGAGATTATCTAAATGCTGGAGGTATTAGACAAATACTTTAACAAGGGTTTTGTAATTATGTATGTAAATTATACACATGAAATCATTGATAAAAATAGAAATATCAACAGAGAAATAGAAATTACACAATGTTTCATTCATTAATGTGAACTTAAACCTAAAAAATGTTAAGTAATTAAAAATTATAAAGTGGGCTCAATAACAAAATGGTAAGAACAGAAGAAAAGGTAAACAAACTTCAAGATATATCAATAGGAACTGCCCCAAGAACAGAGGGAAAAGATTTTTAACAAATGAACAGAGCCTTGGGATCATGTTGAAGAGCATTAGAGGCCCATCGTATGTGTAACTGTAGTTCAGAAGACGGAAGGGAGATTGGGGCAGAAAAAAATGTTTGAAGCAGTAACATTCAAAAACTTACCACATTCTGTGAAAGACATATTTATAGATTAAAGATTGGCAAATTCCAACTTGAATAAATTCAGAGAAAATTATGCTTAAATATATTACAATTGGGTCAAAACCAAATATAAAGAAAAAGTTTTAAGAGAAAGTAAAGAGAAATCACATTACATGTAGGGGAAGAACGATTTAAATGATGGTAGATTTCTCTTTAAATATCCTTTTTTCTTTAAATATCTGAAATACTGAAGAAAGAATTGTCAACTCAATTCTATTTGCTGTAAAAGTATTCTTCAGAAATAAAGGAGAAATTAAGGAATTTCCAGATAAAAGCAAACTAAGAAAATGTATACCTGAAAGACCTGCTTTATAAGACATGCTAAAGGAATTCCTTCATACTGTAGGGAAAACCTATAGAGAAGAACATGGATATTTAGGAATTTTTAAAAAAAGCAATAGAAATGGTAAATAGCAGTGTAAAGATAAATGATCGCCTTTGTCTCTTTAAGCATGAAGTGTGCATGACTGTTAAAGCCAAATTATAATATTGTCTGATGAGGATTTTGAGGTATGTCGATGACATATGACAACTATAAAATGAAGATCCTTGTGAAAACAAAGTGATACGGTAATAAAGGTTTACATTTTACATAAAGTGTTGCAATATTAATTGCAATATGTTAAATATGTATATTAAAATCTGTAAAGTAACCACTTAAAATAATTCAGAGATGTAAACTGATAACCAATCAATATATTAAAATAAAAAATTTAAAAATCCTTAAATTTTTAAAAGACAGAAGAGAAGAAAACCTACATTAAATAATAAGTAATAAAATGGCATCTCTAAATCCAACCATATTATAGATAGATTAAGTGTTAATGGTTCAAACATTTCAGTTTTTAAAAAAGGCAGAAAATCTTGCTACAGTGGATTAAAAAGCAAGAACCTATTTCATGTTGCCTATAAGAAACACATTTGTGGGCCGGGTGTGGTGGCTCAAGCCTGTAATCCCAGCACTTTGGGAGGCCGAGGCAGGTGAACCACGAGGTCAAAAGATCGAGACCATCCTGGTCAACATGGTGAAACCCCGTCTCTACTAAAAATACAAAAAAATTTGCTGGGCATGGTGGCGCGTGCCTGTAATCCCAGCTACTCAGGAGGCTGAGTCAGGAGAATTGCCTGAACCCAGGAGGCAGAGGTTGTGGTGAGCCAAGATCGCACCATTGCACTCCAGCCTGGGTAACAAGAGCGAAACTCCATCTCAAAAAAAGAAAAAAAAGAAAGAAACACATTTGTATGTATATATATATATACACATACATTTCTTATTATGTATAAGTATATACATAATTATTACGTATAGTGTGTGTGTGTGTGTGTGTGTGTAAAGTTGATATATTGAAAGTAAATGGGTAGAAAAAATGTATGTCTGAAAACAGTAAGCACTAAAAGACTGGAATGGCTGTTTTAATATCAGATACAATAAATACAAAGAGAAAAGGTAATACCCGAGGAAAACATATATTTTAATATGACAAAATGACAATTTATGAGAAAGATAAAAAATTATCAATGTACATGCACTTAAGTATATAGCATCAAATTGCAAAAAACAAAAAATGACAAAGAGTGCCGTAGAAAATTCCAGAATCAGAGTAGGAGATTTCAACAATTGTGATTTCTCATGAATTGACAGAAATCAGATAAAATTAATAAGAAAATAGAAGATCTGGGCAACACTATTAAGTACTATTATCTAACTGATGTTTTGGATCATCATTCAACAACTGTACAACACACATTCTTTTTAAGAGCACATGGTAGTAAACTAACATAGACCATATGATGGGATATAAAACAATTCTTAATATATTTAAAAGAATTAAATCATACAAGTATTATTCTCTGATCACAAAAGGATTAAACTGGAAAGCATAATAAAAAATACCTGGGAAAACCCATATCTAGAAATTAAACACACTTCTTTTTTTTAATTGCATTTTAGGTTTTGGGGTACATGTGCAGAACATGCAAGATAGTTGCATAGGTACACACATGGCAGAACGCACTTCTAAATAAATAACAAAGATGAAATTAAAAGGAAAACTAAAAAATATATTCAATGAAAGCACAGCATATCAAAGTTTGTGGGGTGCATCTAAAACAATGTATAACGATAAACACGCAGCTTATAAAGAAGCTAGATAAACAAAGACCCACTTAATAAGAAATACCATAGGAATTCTTTCAGGCTGGAAATAATAACATCAGACATTAACTCAAATCCACAAGAAGACATAAAAAGAACCTGAAATGGTAAACCTGTGTGTGTATATATAAAACGATATAAGTTTTGTTATTTTCTCTCCACTTCTTTAAAAGGAACAAGATTGCTTAAAGTAATAATTATCACTCAGTACTATCAGATTGATAAAATATATTGATACAATACGTATGACCAAAAAAATAAAGGAGGGAGAATGAAGTTATACTGGAACAAGATTTCTACATGTTATAAAAAATGTGTTACTATTTGCTATGGTTTGAATGTGTGCCCCAAAGTTCATGTGTTGAAAACTTAATCCCAAATGCAACAGAGTTGAGAGGTGGGGCGTATGAGAGCTCTCCTATCATGAATGGATGAATATCATTGTTTGGGGAGTGGGTTCTTATTAAAGAACGAGTTTGTTATGAAAGTGAGTTTGGTTCTCACTCTTTCTTGCCCTTTCTCACCCTCTTGCCTACTGCCATGGGATAACGTAGCAAGAAGGCCCTTGCAAGATGTAATCACCTTGATGTGAGACCTCTCAACTTCCAGAAGTGTGAGAACTTCATTTCTTACTTTAGTACTTACTCTGTGGTATTCTGTTATAGCAACAAAAAATAGACTGAGGTAGTAAATCCACAGGCTTTATAATAATGATTGTGTGAGCCATAGAAAATAACTAAAAGTATGTCCGAGAATCAACAGGGGAATTAAAATGTGTGTGTGCATGTGTGTGTATTATATGTGTATATGTAAATACAAAAAGACATGAGACATATTTAATCCAAATGGCAATGTAGCTTATGTTTGTACACATATACATATTGTACATATATGTATATGTACATGTACACATATGTACATATGTACACGTGATATATATTATGTTGATACACATCCATATTATATTAATTATATATAGATTATATCCTAATATATTAACTATAGCTAGATATTTCCTTTCCTACCATTTTATATTTTAGATATATATATTTGATATATTATATATTAATATTAAATATATATTATAGATTGCATTTATATGTTAATATATTATAATACACAAATATATAATTAGTATAATTACATAGCTAACATTATATATTCTATTTTTTATATTGTTATATTTAGAAGTACTATTTATATTATATATGTCTATAAATACAAAAGACAATAGGTAAGAAGAAACAGGGTGACAAAAAAGACATGAGACATATTAAAACCAACTAGCAATATGGCAGATGTAAATCCTATGATATCAATAATTAAGTTACATATAAATGGATTAATTCTCCCTGGCTGAGGCCATGGGCTGTCTTCACCTTCCAGCCTCACTCTTGGTAATGCAAACTTGGCCGTCACCTTTGCTGTCTAGCTTGCTCTGTCTGAAGCGTCTCAGCACTTCCCTGCCACAATTCAGACCTCCTGCCTGGCCCTGTTGGCCCCTGCGTTTGTCTTGTTCATGCTCTGGCTTCTGGCTGCCTTGCCTCAGAGGTTTCTCTAAGTTGAAAACCACTTTGCCCTGGCCTCACCCACAGGCTGGTTCCTGAGTCCTCCCTCCATAGCCATGACCCCAAGCTTAGCACTGCCTCCAACACCACCCTGTGTAGGGACCCTTCCCAGAGGCCCCTCCACACCGGGGGCACCCTCAGCACAGAGCCAACAGACAGAATGTTTGGCTTGCTAGAACTTCCTTGAATCTCTCTTTTCTTCTTTTTACTTATCCTGAAACTCTTCAGCAATACGTAGTGAGATTCTGCAGACATCTTCAGCGCTTTTCTTTCATTTAAAAAATAATAATAATAGAGAAAGAGGATACAAAAGGGAGATCGCAGAACATATTTCCCCCATGATCTCTCCATTATAATAAAAAAAAATAATTTAGTATATATTTTATGTTAAACCTAATGTATCAGTAGTATTCATGAAACAATTTATTATTAGCATTCTATTTAAAACATTTGATATTTATTCATAAGGATTTCATAAAACCATTTAATTTAACTATACTACCTATTTTTTTGATGAAATTAAAAGGAACAAAATTATTACCTATACAAAACTGCAAATTTTGAACTTGTGTTGATTGAAATTTGGGTCCCTGCAATTCACTTTATTGTTTGAGACAGACTCAGGCATTTGATACATGGCTCGAGAAAGAAAAGGAGGGGAGAAGTCCCTTCCAAGGCCACAAAATCATATTGTGTATGTTCTGCCATTGTTCTCATATGAACTAGAGCTAGGTAAGAAGTTCTACAAAGCTAAAAATGAATAATTGCCACTTGCTTCACATACCTTCATCTTACTCAGTATTTCCCAAATGGAGATAACCGAGACTCAGAACTGGGTGTATGGAAGGGAGTGACTTATCAAATCTGGTTACCATCACCTATTTTATTACTATATGGAAGTTACTAAGTGGGTTGAAACATATTTCATATTTTATCTCCATAATAAATATAATGAATATGCAGCATGAGTTCCATTATGCTGATAACTAATATTTACTGAAAATATCTGAAATAATATTCATTTACATAATTCCAAGAAACAGTCCCAGAATAGTTCTAGAATGAAATGATGTGCAGAGTAAAATGAACCCATGCACGCATGTATGAATACATAAATAAGAAAAAGGGGAACACTAGAAATACCCACTTTTCTTGTTTGCAGACAGCTGTTTGGCGTCTTCTCACTGGTCCCTCTTCCCTGTGGTTGCTTGGGCACAGATGGATGACCAAGAAGATTCTTCGCAACAGTTCTTCTCTTAGTGGTGCCTCTTGAGAACCTTATTTTCTTTCTAGTTAGTTGCACAAAACATGTTTGTGATTGACTCTTTTCCCTGATCTGTCTCTTTGCTTTGATTGGTAGGTTCTGTAATACTACGTAGAATTTCCAAAGTCCTAAGGTACAGACAGCTGCTTTGTTGCTTGTCTAGGCTACAGAATTAAGATTGCAAGGAATTTCCTGGCAATTACTTTGTTGGGACTGAAAAGATATTGGAACCTGGTCTCAGTAACCAACTAAGTTTTATCCCTCTTAGGATTTTACATTGTTTAATACATAACTAATCATGCTTGATCTTGCATTGGAAGAAGAGTCCATGTTTTAACTGTCATTAGAAACTGATTCATTCATTCATTCTTTCTTTCTTTTTCTTTCTTTTCCTCTCTTTTGTTCCTGTAAGCATTTATTTATTTTGTTGACACCATGTGCAAAAGTTCTATCTCTGCAGACTTCAGTCCAGAGAGCTTCTAGGTAGGTGAGCCTTAGATGTAAGGTGCTATAGAACTCAATATTGACTGACATCGTTTGGCCGGAGTTTTGTTGTTTCTGCAAATTCTATACCCATTTTTCAAAACAAAGGCTACAATTACTTAAACTTTTCCAATCAGGCTCCTCCTCTTCACAATGACATTCTTCATGCCAGGGGTGGAGAGCAGAGCACTCTTTATTTTCCCTCTCCACAGCGCATGGTCCCAGCTGTGTGGCTCCCTTCATGAATATGCATGAAATCAGATATGACATTGCCCTGCTCCCATTAATAATCTTGTCATCTGACTTGTGCTCCAGAAAGCTCCAGCCCATGGCTTCTCGGAGCAAATGTAGCCTGAAGAAAAGCAAGACAAAACAAAACAAGATGAAAAAATACATATCTTTATGTTCATCTTTTTGATTTGATTGGGATTAAGTATTCCAACACTTGGGCATGGGTTTGCAAGGGGAGCAGAGGAGCAGTGGAGAGACAGGGAGCGAGCGAGGCTGAGAAGTCAGCCCCTGTGTGAATGGCCTGGCTTGTCGGGAGGGAGCCTACAGTGGTGGGTGTAATGGTATGCGAAGTGACCTTGAATATAGGCGCTGTGGGTAGCCCCAGCTTTTTTGTAAAAGAAGCATTTGCAGTGGAGGTTTGGGTTTCAGGCCTCCCAGTCATCAATCATCTCAGCCCATTCTTCTCTTTGACAGCTCAGTACAAGGCCTGACATTTGACACCCAAGACCCCGGGACTTATGCACAGACACAAGCTGAGGCCCTAAGGGAGGGAGGAGGGAAAGAGGGGGAAAAAAGGAGCTGTTATTTTTTTTGAAGCAGCAAACTGAAGAAGATACCAAACAAATCCTAACTGCCACAGGAAATGATTCTGCAGGACAGCATCACATTGAGTTCTCTCTGCTGCTTTGTAATTTTTTCCTGCTGTTCAGGTTGCTTAAAACAGTTCTGTGCAGTTTGTTTGGGGCAAATATCTGAGCTTGGCTACCCACTTTCCATTTGCCAGATTGAATCCAACCTCAGCATTCAAGGATGGATTGGTAGACATGGGGGTTATCACTTTCTGGACAATGGCTCATGACACAGTGACCTGAATGTCATTACATCATACTGTCACCTCAGAGGCAGGCCACCCTCAGGGTACTTTCTCTTTGGAAAATTGAAAAAATTAAAAAGGAGAGATAATAACTCAGGTTCAGATATGAGCTCACTGAAGTTCGAGGTCAACTAATGCAAGTGTTTCAGGGATCAAATAATGGTAATTGGTGTTAAGAAGAATTAGGTAATTTATGGTTCTAACATTGAACGAGTCCAAAGGTTTACAACATGCAAGTCCCAGGATTTCATGGGTGAAGGTCCAGGTGGCTCTGCCTCAAATCCCTATTCATCTAAGGCCAGTTAAACTGAGTGCCAAGCGCTGAGCTTGTGAGGCCAAGGGTGTGTGATTAAATTCTTACCCAAGTCTGAGACCTGTCAGATCAATCTAGGCAAGCATTTTTTGACACTGACTATATGTCTAGCACTGTACTAGTGTCATAGAACATGCAAATACTCTAAGAGATGATCCCAGCCCACACAGACACTACCGTCTATTTGGAGAGATAAAGCATGAATCGATAAGATAGTGCATAATAGTATGGCAAAAAAACAAATATGTTCTGATTTATCAACTAGGTTGTCTCCAGGATTACTTAGCACATCGTTCATTCTGGAAGCACTGGCATCCCACACACAGACTCAAGAAATCACATGTTTCTTCCCAGTGGAATGTGGAAAAACACTTGGAGTTTGCATAGGAAATATAAAATGCTTTCTAAGAACATTGAACAGTACAGGCTTAGAATACAGAGTTAAGTATTAGGATTCTTTTAGAAAAACATTCCCAGAGAAAATACACACTATCAGAAGTTGAATGAGGCAGTGGCTGGATTGGAAGGGAGTTTTATTTTTATTTTATGTCATTTTCTGATAATTTATAATGAATGCATGTAACTTTTTATTAATAAGTGATGAAAATAACTTTTTAAAATGGAGATCCTTAATGGCAACCTAGAATTGCATACTACTTTCATTTCATCCTATAATTTTTCTTAGTGTAGAAAGTCTGATATTTCCCTTTCACTACTCTTCCACTAATAGTTAATAAAGCTCGCACTTCTGTGAGAGCAAAGGTGGACACTTCATACCCCATAGGACTAGCCTCTGAGCTTGAGTGAGGCTATTTGGAGCAGATTGAGTTTCTCTTCTGTGTCCTCACAGTGCCTTATGTTCTGGCACAGCACAGACATGCTCTGTTAATTTGGGAATCACTTATCTTGCCCATTAAACGGTGAGCTCCTTGAGGGCCAGAACATTTTAATATCTCGTGGAGGGAGGTCTTTGCTTTGGCCAGGAGGTACTCAATGTCCTTTCGAAGAATTTACAAATGTAGGAATAAGTATCTGCTTTTATTTGTTAGACAAATATCATTGTTGTTTTCAAGGATTCAGCTGTGCACCTTTAAACAGGTTCACAATTATTAGTCACAGAGCTCTGTGATAACATCTCTATTGGCAGTAAACAAATTTATTCCTCTGAATTTTCATAAAATTCTTGCCAGGAATGAACTGATAAAAACATTCCAAGCTTCCATCTTTTTCTGTTGAAATTTATCTGTTTGGGGTTCCTACATAGAATTTGCTTTTTCTCTAACTTTTTTCTTTATTTTTAAGTGTATTTTACTTTATTTTTTTGAGATGGAGTCTCTGTTACCGAGCTGGAGTGCAGTGGTGCTCGGCTCACTGTAACTTCCGCCTTCCGGATTAAAGCGATTCTATTGCCTCAGCCTAGCAAGTAACTGGGATTACAGGTGCTGGCCACCACGCCCAGCTAATTTTTGTATTTTTAGTAGAGACAGGGTTTCACCATGTTGGACAGGCTGGTCTCGAACTCCTGACCTCATGATCCACCCACCTTGGCCTCCCAAAGCCAACTTTTAATTCTTTAAAAAAGGACCATTTAGAACGATGTGCACATTCAAGTTTCAGATTATTAATTCCTGTTCGAAGTACTTCCTTTTCAAGTAATTTTATTTGCCTTTTCAAGTGTTTTGCTATTCAATCGGGGGTACTCATCTGTGTTTGGAGAAATTTGTGGTGTTTTTTACCTAGCATGCTTCTTTTTCCCGTGGAAAACTCCACCCACTGCCTGGAAGGATTCTAAATCCAAATCATGGCTTTTCTTTCTCATTTTGGGAGAGAAGCACAGAATCTGCAATCCTGCAAAATGAAAGGTCTTAATCTTGAGGGAAAGCCTTTGATCCATAAAATAAGAGTTATGCTTAGTTGTGAGCTTTTTGAAACAGTATTCTTCATTTAGTGCAAAAAATGTACAGTCAGAAATTTGAAAATGTCACACAGTAGAGATGATAAGTTTTAATATAAATAGAATGGTGCCACTGAAGGCAAACTCAAGAATTCAGTTTAGTTTAAAACTTAGATATTTTCTACTATTAGCAAAAAAGTGAAATTAAATATATGTAATTAACAACGTCTAATACCACAACTGTGACACTCAGACATTCACTAGATTTCAGTTCACTTAGGATGAAGAATGTATTGTTCTGCAGAGAAATTCTGTGGCTATTTTTCCCCTCTAGGTTCGCCGCATGTCGCACCACAGAATTGGAATTCAAGAGATGAGCCTGTATTTCTAATCATGTTGATATTTCCCATGTAGCTTCTTAGTCAGCTCCTTGGATTCTTCACACAAAACTATAAAAGGTCATCAATTATAGGGACCTTATGTAAATACTGGGCTGTTTTGTGATTCTATTCTGAGCAACGTTTATATACATCTGCTCAAATAAATTAATTTTCTTGTCCCAAATGACTCATTTAGTGGAACTAGAAGTTCTCATGCCAAGGCAAATAAAGAAAGGGAGAGAGGGCACGGGGAAATGGGGAGGATGGGAATTCATTTTATCATTTACCAATTTATGAGCCATGCCACATAATTTTTAAAGGGAAAAGCACTTTAAGCAAATATTTAGAAAGAAAAGAAAAAGAGAGAGAACTAGAAATTCTGTCTTCTCAGGTAGAGTATAACCATCTTGAGGGTATGAGGCTGAGAAATGGGTTGAGACATACCTGCATTTGAGTGTCATCTGCATTATTTTCTAGCTTGATAACCTGATTCACTTTAACTTTTTAGAGCCTTATTTTCCACATCTAGCAAATCATAGTAGAGTTACTCCAACTCTGAAACTGGCAATAAATTGCAGTGTTTCTTTCTTTTCCAAGTTTCTTCCTTCTCTAGTGCCATCTCCACAGACATCTGACATTTTATAAAGGATGGAGAAAGTCTTGCAGGCTTAGCTCACTTCTGTTAAGTCAGGATGAGGTGGGCCTGAAAAATCCTTGAAACTCTATCTTAGACTTGGGGTCCTGGCCCTGTAAGTTTTAATAGCAGTTCCTTTTCTCCTAAGAAAATTTCTTTACAAAACCTCCTCCATGTCTCCAACAACTTCTTGCAATATATCACGGGCATTGGCTACTCCAGAATCCATACTGACTCCCTGTCACTGGATGCCAATAAACGTCCTTCTTTGCCATTTATACCCCCTCATGATCATCTGGAGCCCATTATCCTATTTGTTGTTATATTTGTTGGTACTTTCATTGGATGATTCCACCATTCCCTGCTTTATTGCCAGCTCATTCAAATCACTTTGTAGTTCCATTCTTTCATTCATGGCCTTTCTCTGGCATTGGCATTCTATCTTCAGCCCATACTTTTCCTCAAGATTTAGTTCAGCTTTCTTCATCCAATAATTCTTCCTAAACTGAAATCACCTTCTTTAAATTGTGGCAGCATTTTGTGCTTTCTCACTTTTATGCAGAATGGGTGAGTGCCTGTTTTTGGCATTCCTTTCTTCTAACCACTTCTTACAGTTTTTCTCTCTTTTATACCTCGAGTGGAAACTCTTCAAGAGACAACATGTTTGAAGCTGGATTTTGTACTAATTATGTCACCTAGCAGAGTACCTTATATATGATGAAAGTTTTGAATAATTGTTTCTTGAATAAAATTATGATTAATTAAATGTCACTACAGGCTCTTTTTTTTTTTTTTTTTTTTTTTGAGACAGAGTTTCACTCTTGTTACCCAGGCTGGAGTGCAATGGCGCGATCTCGGCTCACCGCAACCTCCGCCCCCTGGGTTCAGGCAATTCTCCTGCCTTAGCCTCCTGAGTAGCTGGGATTAAAGGCACGTGCCACTGTGCCCAGCTAATTTTTTGTAATTTTTAGTAGAGACAGGGTTTCACTACAGGCTCTTTATTAGCTACTACTATTCTTTTTGTAT